AAGAAGCATTTCAAGTTATCAATCAACCTTTTCACAAACTCTGTAATTTCAGTAGAAAACTATTTTAGCAATTAATGGCATATTAGTCTGCAGATAGAAAAGCACAAGTGCACAGATTTGAACAACCATATTTAAAGAATTTTAAACTAATTTCCTTAATTTTGTAAGTTTAGAATGCACATTTTCTCAGAAAAATATGGTAATGCAGAGAGCTAAGTTCAGGTTTCAACTAATTTCCAACATATTAATGCAACTACTCATTATCAGCAAAGAGTTATTGTGTCACATTCATCGAGAACTAGTTTCAGAATCACACATAATTGCATATAACCATACTAATCTCTTTTCACGCTAACACTTTCATAAAAGTCTGTTTAGACATATTGAGGTTTTGCAAAAATTTGGTTCAAATAGTGTGTCATGCAGGTTCGACTTCCTAAACAATATCATGAATGATAATAAACACTTATTTAGCATTTTGTCAATTCTATCATTGAATCAAAAATCATCAGAACAGTGGCTCATTACCCCCTTTTTACGTTTTTCCCAAAACATTACACAGGAAAACCCTAATCCATTATTTCAGAACGAATAGAGTTGAGAAAAAAAAAATTGTTGCTGTTTGTCGACACACAGAGAGATTGAAAATGCAAGGGATGTTTAGAGAGAAGTTAGATTTCAAGAGTGAATGTGTGTGCGCATGCTCAGGATAGATAGTATATATAGTTACGCTAGGCACGTGACTACTTTTAAAATAAAAAGTGAACGTTGCATCATTAAATGGTCCCAGCGTCATCACTATTTTTAGTCAGAGTGAGCGTTTAAGAGAGTTGATTTTTCAGAGTGAGGGGCGCGTTATCACTATTGCTGGGAAAAGTGATAACGCACACCCTCGCGACAATTTTTTTGAATAAAAGGAGTAACGCACAAAGTTTGAAAGCCTACTTACCTGTGCGTAGCCACTTTTGCCAAGGAAAGTAAGTGTTCCAGAGAGTATGTTTTCTCATCTGCCTCTACGTGATCACTCTCATCAGTAAGAGTGAGTGTTCCAGAGGAACGTGTTTACCTTGATGCCTTTGTGTGATCACTTTTGTCAGTAAAAGTGATTGTTCCAGCAGAGATCCTCAAAATGCATTCTTTGCGTAGCTTCTTTCTTGCAACAAAGTGACTTCTTTCATTAGTCTATTTCCTCTAAAACCTCAATTAACTCACTTCTCACACTCTAATCCTTCAATTTACTTCTCACAACCTCAAATCTCTAATTGATTATGATATTCAATTCAGAAAACCAGATCCAACAAAACTTGCAGAATTTTCAGAAAGTTGTAAAATCTGAATATGCAAAATTTTAAACCTTCAAATACATATTAACCAAATCAAATCTCTAATTAACTATCAGATTCACTTCAGAAAATCAGATACAGTAGAACTTGCAGGGAATTATAAAACATGAATATGCAGAATTACAATTTACAGAAACTGCAGAATATGAATTGCAAACTCTCAAAACAATACAAAAAACTTAAAATGGGTTAGAAAAGTGAGTTGTCTCTCACAAAGCGCTTCTTTAACGTCACTAGCTTGATGTTAAATGTTCCTCACTCAAGAAGAACCAATTTCATGCATGAAATATTCCTTGTAAACTCCTCTCCATGATAAACCTTCAATCTTTGACCATTGACCTTAAATTTTCTCCTTGTCTTTTGATCCTCAATCAGAATTGCTCCAAAGGGAGATGTTTCTTTTATTACAAAAGGTCCAGACCATCTTGATCTCAGTTTGCCTGGAAACAGTTTCAGCCTAGAATTGAACAACAATACTTGCTATCCAGGTTTAAATTCTCTCTGCAGAATGAACTTGTCATGAATTCTCTTTGTTCTTTCTTTATATAACTTTGCATTCTCATACTCCTGCTGTCTGAATTCTTCTAATTCATGCAACTGCAGAACTCTCTTCTTTCCAGCACTTGACAAATCAAAGTTCAGCCACTTGGTAGTCTAGTAAGCTTTGTGTTCCAGCTATAGGGGTAAATGACAGGCCTTTCCAAAAACTAATTGGTATAGAAACATACCAATTGGAGTTTTAAAAACAGTTCTGTATGCCCACAGTGAATCATCCAGCCTCTTTGACCAATCTTTCCTTGAGTTGCTCACTACCTTTTCTAGAATTTGCTTGATTTCTTTATTTGAAACCTCCACTTGTCCACTTGTCTGTGGATGGTATGGAGTAGCAACCTTGTGCTTCACACCATATTTCATTAATACAGCTTCAAGGTACTTATTGCAGAAGTGAGTACCTCCATCACTTATTAGCACTCTAGGCACTCCAAATCTTGCAAAAATATTCTTTCTTATAAAGGAAATCACTACCTTTGCATCATTTGACCTGGTAAGAATGGCCTCTACCCATTTGGATACATAATCTACTGCAACTAAGATGTATTCATATGAGAACAATGGGGGAAATGGTCCCATGAAATCAATCCCCCATACATCAAATAGATCCACCTCTAGAATGTTTGTCAAGGGCTGCTCATGTCTTCTTGAAATGTTTCCAGTTCTTTGACATTTATCACAATTCTCCACATACTTCTTGACATCCTTGAAAAGTGTAGGCCAAAAAAACCCTACTTGTAGAACTTTTGTAGCAGTCCTTGAGCCTGCATAATGACCTTCATACTCTGAGTTATGGCAGTGCCATATTATTTCAGATTGCTCACTTTATGGAATGCACCTCCTAATCAGTCCATCTACTCCGATTTTGAACAGGTGTGGATCTTCCTATATATAGAATCTACTGTCATGTAAGAACTTCTTCTTCTGCTGCCAAGTGAATCTCCTTAGGATGAATTGAGTTGCCTTAAAGTTTGCAATGTCAGCAAACCAAGGTATGTTTTCCACTGCAAACAACTTTTCATGTGGAAATTTTTCATTTATTTCCAAGGATTCAGTGGTTAAACTCTCCAATGGCAGTCTGGACAGGTGGTCAGCTACCCCATTTTCCTTTCCTTTCTTGTCTCTAATTTCTAGCTCAAACTCCTGCAGTAGCAGAATCCACCTCAACAGCCTTGGTTTTGCATCTTGCTTTGATAACAAGTATTTAAATGCAGAATGGTCAGTGTATACAATCACTTTCAAACCCATTAAATATGATCTGAACTTATCAAAGGCATATACAATAAGTAGAAGCTCTTTTTTTTGTTGTTGTGTAATTCACGTGTGCAAGATTTAACACTTTGCTCGAATAGTAAATAACATGCAATTTCCTATCTTTTCTCTGTCCTAAAACAGCACCCAGTGCACTATCACTTGCATCACACATGAGTTCAAAAGGTAATTTCTAGTCTAGTTTTGCAAGGATAGGTGCAGAAATCAGTTTTTCTTTTAAAATAGAAAATGCATGCAAGCAATTATTATCAAATATGAAATCAGCATCCTTTATAAGTAAATTACTCAGAGGTTTAGCAATTTTGGAAAAATCTTTTATGAACCTCCTATAAAAACCAACATGTCCTAAAAAACTTCTAACTCCTTTAACAGTAATAGGTAGAGGCAGTTTATTAATGACTTCTATCTTAGCTTGGTCCACTTCCATTCCTTTTTCTGAAATTTTGTGATCAAGAACAATGCCTTCTTGTACCATGAAATGACACTTTCCCCAGTTCAAGACCAAATTAGTTTCTTGACAACTCTGCAAAACAATAGATAGATTAGCTAAAAAATCATCAAAAGAATTACCAAAAACAAAGAAGTCATCCATGAACACCTCTATAATATTTTCTACCAAGTCAGAAAAAATAGAAAGCATGCATCTTTGGAAAGTGGCAGGGGCATTACATAATCCAAAAGACATTCTTCTATATGCAAAGACTCTAAATGGACATGTAAATGCAATCTTCTCTTGATCCAAAAGATCCACTGCTATTTGGTTGTATCCTGAACAACCATAAAGGAAACAATAGAATGAATATCCAGCAAGTCTCTCCAATATTTGGTCTGCAAATGATAGTGGGAAATGGTCTTTTCTGGTGGCATCATTTAGCTTCCTATAGTCTATGCACATTCTCCATCTAGTCACAGTCCTAGTGGGTATGAGTTCATTCTTCTCATTAGCTACAACAGTCATCCCTCCTTTCTTTGGGACAACTTAGACTGGACTTACCCAATTGCTGTCAGAAATTGGGTAGATTATTCCTGCATCTAGCAGTTTCATGACCTCTTTCTTAACTACCTCTTCCATAGCTGGGTTCAATCTTCTTTGTGGTTGCACAACATGCTTAAAATTCTCTTCAAATAAAATTGTGTGCCTACAAAATGAAGGATTTATACCTTTCAGATTTACAATACTCCAACCAATTGCAGATTTGTGCTCTCTCAGAACTCTTAACAATTTTTCCTCTTCCTCTTCCTTCAGCTTATCGTTAATGATGACTGGATTCTTATGCTTCTTATCCAAAAAGGCATACTTCTTTGTGGTTGCACAACATGCTTAAAATTCTCTTCAAATAAAATTGTGTGCCTACAAAATGCAGGATTTATACCTTTTAGATTTACAATACTCCAACCAATTGCAGATTTGTGCTCTCTCAGAACTCTTAACAATTTTTCCTCTTCCTCTTCCTTCAGCTCATCGTTAATGATGACTGGATTCTTATGCTTCTTATCCAAAAAGGCATACTTTAGGTGAGATGACAGCTGCTTAAGTACTAACTTCTGCTCTTTCTCTTCTTTGACTTCATTTTTCATTTCCTCTTTAATTGAATTTTCTGTAGGTTTTTGAATTGGCAGGGCTTCTAATTGTTGCTCCATTTTCATGATGTATTCCTCATTAAGAATTTCAGAATTGACACTTCCTACAGATATTATTTCTTCTAACACAGCATTTTCGTCAAGCTTATTAATAGAATAATGTGGAATAATAGAATCTAAAATGTCTATCTTCATGCATGTACTATCTTCCACATGATATTTTAAAGCTTCAAATACATTAAACACCACTTTCTAATCCAGGACTCGAAGCATAAGTTCACCTTTCTGTACATCTATCAAAGCTCTCCCTGTTGCAAGGAATGCCCTTCCTAAGATCAAGGGAATATTAGCATCTACCTCCATGTCCAAGATTACGAAATCTGCAGGGAAAATAAACTTGTCAATTTTAACTAATAAATCTTCAACTACACCATAAGGATAAGTGTAGGATTTGTCAGCCAACTGTAGTGTGATATTGGTGCCAAGTTTCTTCAGAACAGCCAATGGCATCAAGTTGATGCTTGCCCCTAAATCACATAGTGCTCTTCCAACTGTGCAGTTTCCTATTTCACAAGGGATATTGAATGATCCAGGATCTTTTAGCTTTTGAGGAAGCTTCCTCTTGAGGATTGCACTGCACTTTTCTGTCAAAGGTACAGTCTTATCATGCTCCAACTTCCTTTTTCTGGAAAGTAGCTCCTTCATAAACTCTGCATATGAAGACATCTACTCTAATGCCTCTGCAAAAGGAATATTAATCTGCAGTTTCTTAAAAACACTCAAAAACCTCTCATATTGTTCTTCTTGCTTTGGATTTTGAACTCTTTAAGGATAGGGCAGCCTCTTATATTTTTCTGGGTCTAAAGGGTTGCAAGCATCTTCAAAGAGCTGTTTCTTTGTCTTCCTCTCAGAATGTGTAGGAGCTTCTACCTTTTTCTCTGCATTATCTCTCTTCAATAGTCTGAAGTTTTCTTACTGCAAGTCTTGTTCAATGCTCTTCTCTGCTATTTCATCATGGTCTTTTTTTTTTCTACAGCTTTTGGACTTGCAACTACAGCGTCACTTCTAGTAGTAATTGCTTGGCATTGTTCATTAGGATTGACCATTGTATTGTTGGGAAATCTTCCTTCTTCTCTGCTGGACAATTGCTCAGCCAACTGTCCAATTTGTGTTTCCAGCTTCTTCATAGAAGCTTCTTGGTTCTTAAAGTTTGTTTGAGTCACCTTCATGACTTGTAATAATGTTTCTTCTATCCCATTCACCTTCTCACTCAAGGGTCTTGCATTTGGATACCCTTGATTTTTCTGAAACTGTGCAGAAAAATTCCCTTGGATGTTTTATTGTTGTGGTTGAGGTGCTGCATTTGGAAAATGTGCAGAACTTGTATTTCCTCTTGCATTTGAATTCTGTGGATTCCATTTGGAGAACTGTTGTCCTCTATTGTTATTTAGCTGGAAACCAGTTGGATATGGTTATTGTGGCCTTTGATAGTTATCCATGTAGTTGACTTGTTCAGGTTGTTTTATAACTGTGGGATCACAAGCTCCATTCACACAGTTGCCACCACAAAAATCACAACTCAATTATGAATTTTGGACCACACCAATCTGCATGTTACTCATTTGTTGAGTTAAAGCAGCAAGCTGTTTAGAAAATTGTTGATTCTGAAGTTGATTTTGAGCAAACATGGCTTCTATGGATTTTACATCATATCCTCCTCTCCTTGAAACTTGTCCTTCATTCATATTCTGATACATCGAAAATGCCATCATTTCTATGATTTGTTGGGCTTCTTCCAAAGTCTTTGAACTCAATGAACCACCAGCTACTGCATCTACCATGGTTTTAGTTGCAGCAGTCATTCCATTATAGAATGTTTCAAGTTGCATCCACTCAGGTATGCAGTGATGTGGACACTTCCTCAATAATTCCTTGTATCTTTCCCATGCCTCATACAAAGGCTCTCCATCTTACTGAACAAAAGATGTAATCTCCCCTCTGATTTTTGCAGCTTTTGAAGGGAGAAAATACTTGATTAGAAACTTGTTCACCAAATCAGCCCATGTTGCTATACTCCCTTGTGGCTGGGCTTGAAACCAGCACTTGGCTTTATCCCTCAATGAGAATGGGAATAATCTAAGTTTGATTGCATCCTCACTTACCCCATTGATTCTAATTGTGTCACAAAGTTACAAGAAATTAGAGATGTGCAGATTTGGATCTTCTGAATGCCCTCCAGCAAATTGATCTTGTTGTACTAGATTTAGAAGTGCAGGTTTTATCTCAAAGTGATTGGCCTGAATTGTAGGTCTGAGAATAGAAGAACTGAATCCTTGTAAATTAGGAACTGCATAGTCCCCTAATGTTCTCAGTCTTGGTTGTTCTCCCATCTTTAGTTGTCTTGGAATCTGACTGGATTGAGGTGGAGGTGTAGAACTTTCGTGTTCCTCTCTTTAAATTTGCTTAAATCTTGCTTCACTTCTTAACCTTTTTAGTGTTTGATCAATATCTGAATTGAATACCAAAGTAGCTTTATTTTTGTTTTTCCCTCGCATATACAAATCAAATTTAACAAGTTAAACTAAAATTTAATAGTAATATATACACTAATACAGCTGATGCAGAAAAATAACAGCAAATTCATATCAAAATTACAACTGCAGAATTATGCAAAAATGCAAAATCATGCAGAAATTACCTACTAATTTTCTATACTTATCTAAGTAAAGGCAAAACAGAGTACTTCTATGTAATATGAAATTGAAGAGAAAAATTCAGAAATCAAGAACTCAATCTAGCAATTTGTCTGTTACTAATGATATTGAATTTCAAAATTCCCCGGCAACGGTGCCAAAAACTTGTTGTTTACAATTCTTAACTCTAGCAAGTGAACTAGGAATTGCAGCAAGTAATGAGTAAATTTAAGATCCAAGTATCATCTCCACAGGGAATTAGGAATTTAATTACCAATTCGCAGAGCAAAAACTAGTTGAGTCATACAAATTTGGAAGGAGAGTTGTAACATATAATAGCAGTAAACCAGAGCAATTTAAAAGTGAAGAACTTGCACAAAAACAAAGTATAAGATTTGTGATGAAATGAGATAGGAATGAAGAATAGTTAGGAATTTACTTCACAAGAATGACAATATTCATTCAATTATGCCTCTGAACATTCAAGAACTTGGTTAATGGATAATCAGTTTTGCATATTAATAGCCAAAGGTTAATCCCTTAACTCATTGACCCTAACAAGTAACTAAACCACCCTAATCCCTTAGGTGAAGTTCAATTTCATGTTGCATTAAGACTTAGAACATTAGGATTGCAGAATTAAGTGTACTTATCCCTAAGAAACTCCTAATTCTGGTTGCTAATTCAGATAAGAGAATCAAGTCCAATTCCCGTTGGCAAATATTCCTCTAATGTTAATCAAATGAATTCCCATTCAAAGATTATGTAAAGTGCAGAATTAACAACCAATTAATCCAAATACTAGAATTTCATAAGCAAGAATCAAATCAATACATCAATTCAAGTTCCATAAACTCCTATGACGGAGTAAATGTTATTAACAGTGGGAATAATAAGACCTGTATTTTATCCCCTTATTTTATTAAGTTAAAAAAATAGAAAAAAGACAGATTACTTTGCATATCATACTCTAAAATAATTGAACTCAAGTGTTTTCAAAATTTATGAACGGTTCAGGCTTTTAAGAACTAGTTCAGAGTCAGTTTGGAACTGGCTTGACAGTTCAGAACCAGTTTGATCTTTTAAGGACCGGCTTTACGAATATTCTTAAGTGTTTTCAAAATTTATGAACGGTTCAGTTTTTTAAGAACTAGTTCAAAGTCAGTTTGGAACCAACTTGACAGTTCAGAACCAGTTTGATCTTGTAAGGACCAGTTTTACAGCAATATCCGTGTTCCAATTTCTCACATGCTAAATATAAACAATTTAAAAAGATGACTTGCACAAGAAACACCATACATTAATATATAGTGTTTTGACATTGATGAATATTAATCCAGTGACATGACATTGACTTGTTTTTCAGAAGAAAGCATACCTAGCAACAATGAGAATCAGGTGTCTAGCATCCAACCTAAGTAATTGCAAAGTAATAAGAAAAAATAATCAGCATAAATTCACAACATAGTGCTCCTATAATATGTCAAGCAAGCCAGTGGGTGGAGTATCTAGTATAGTAGACAGTGTGCTCGAACCACCAAAGATGGGTTTTAATGTAAAGTATTGAAAACAATAGCTGACAAGGCACTGAACAATTTTTTAAATTCTAGTAAAACGAAACAAAGCATCCGGTGGTAGAATTCTCAAGTAGCATCTCAGTTTTTATTCATACGCGAGAAAGAATAACGAACCCTTTTTACATAAAGTGAAGTCAGTTATATAAACCAACCAATTGTAATTTGTTGGGAAAGATATCAAATATAATAGTAATACGCGGAAGCTGGATCTCTCTTATTCCACTGTGCAATTAAAATTGGCTTAACACAGTTGTCAAGCAATTGATAATAAACACAGAATAGAGTAAACAAGAAGACCAAAATTATTAACGTGAGGAAACCCTGAATGAAAGGTAAAAACCATGGGACCTAGTCTAGCAGAATTTTCCACTAATAGATTTATTGGGTACACCACAAGTCTTCCTGAACCACTAGAGATCAACACAAAATACAAACTCTCAACGGGTATTCAGCAATAGCAACAAGAAAAAAAATTACAGCAAAACTAGGATCTCAATGCACATATTATGCAAATCAATCAATATTGTAAGTTTTCTTCGCTGCTATTGTCATCTTTTTCTTAAGATGGTTTCTTTTCTTTATCATACTCTCTTTTGAGACGGCTTCTATTTTTCTCTTATATTCTCGAGATGGCTTCTATTTTTTTCTCGTACTCATTCTTGAGACCGCTTCTATTTTTTTATTATACTCTCGAGACGGCTTCTATTCCTCTTTTGTACTCTTGAGACACAGCTTCTATAACTTCCATAACACACATACATGTTTACTTACTATACAAAATTTAAAATATATCATATCCTTCAATCAAGTCACCCTCCACTCCTTAAGTCTTGTAACTAGCCTATGACATCAACACCCCAATTCATCCTAGAGCTGTAAATCAAATGTTGCTCACATAATACCTTAACATACTTCACCTAAAACTTTTCTGACAGAGCCAACAGATTATAAGTCATTTGATTATCAGGGCTAACTTCAGCTATGTATAGATAGTGAACAAAATCCAGAAGTGTTTCGTGTGATACATGAGATATCATAATAGGGGCACTCTGCTTTTTAGTGTTTTCAAATATGAATTTGAAGACTGGAGACCTATTGCATTGTTTATGACATACAATATTATTAATTTCATTAAAAATAACATAAAATTTAATTAAATTAACAATTAATGTATATGTAAATAAATATTTTTTATAATTATAAAAAAAATATTAGTAATTATTTTTTATAAAAAATAGAGATAATGACGTAAAACATCATAAAACTAGAAAAAACTTAAAGACAGAAGTAACTTACCAAAAGAAACCTGTGAGCGTGAACTGGTTAAGCCATGGGGTCATCGGCGGCAAGGAGGATGAGATCGGTGCCACTAGCAGCACCAAAGTCATCCTCTTATACTCTCGAGACGACTTTTTTTCTCTCTCATACTATCTCTTGAGACGACTTTAATTTTTCTCTTATACTATAGAGACGGCTTCTATTTTTTTTCTTGTGTTTACTCTTGAGACTGCTTCTATTTTTTCTATTGTACTCTCGAGAGACGACTTCTATTTTTCTCTCATACTTTCTCTCGCTTTCTCTCGAGACGGCTTCTATTCCTCTTTTGTATTCTTGAGACACAACTCATATAACTTCCATAACACACATACATGTTTACTTACTATACAAAATTTAAAATATATCCTATCCTTCAATCAAGTCACCCTCCAATCCTTAAGTCTTGTAACTAGCCTATGACATCAACACCCCAATTCATCATAGAGCTGGAGATCAAATGTTGCTCACATAATACCTTAACATACTTCACCTAAAACTTTTCTGACAGAGCCAACAGATTATAAGTCATTTGATTATCAGGGCTAACTTCAGCTATGTATAGATAGTGAACAAAAGCCAGAAGTGTTTCGTGTGATACATGAGATATCATGACGGGGGCACTCTGCTTCTTAGTGTTTTCAAATATGAATTTGAAGACTGGAGACCTATTGCATTGTTTATGACATACAATATTATTAATTTCATTAAAAATAACATAAAATTTAATTAAATTAACAATTAATGTATGTGTAAATAAATATTTTTTATAATTATAAAAAAAATATTAGTAATTATTTTTTATAAAAAATAGAGATAATGACGTAAAACATCATAAAACTAGAAAAAACTTAAAGACAGAAGTAACTTACCAAAAGAAACCTGTGAGCGGGAATTGGTTAAGCCATGGGTCATCGGCGGCAAGGAGGATGAGATCGGTGCCACTAGCAGCACCAACGTCATCCTCTTATACTCTCGAGACGACTTTTTTTCTCTCTCGTAGTCTCTCTTGAGACGACTTTAATTTTTCTCTTATACTATAGTGACGGCTTCTATTTTTTTCTTGTGTTTACTCTTGAGACCGCTTCTATTTTTTCTATTGTACTCTCGAGAGACGACTTCTATTTTTCTCTCATACTTTCTCTCGAGACGGCTTCTATTCCTCTTTTTTACTCTTGAGACACAGCTTCTATAACTTCCATAACACACATACATGTTTACTTACTATACAAAATTTAAAATATATCCTATCCTTCAATCAAGTCACCCTCCAATCCTTAAGTCTTGTAACTAGCCTATGATATCAACACCCCAATTCATCCTAGAGCTGGAGATCAAATGTTGCTCACATAATACCTTAACATACTTCACCTAAAACTTTTCCGACAGAGCCAACAGATTATAAGTCATTTGATTATCAGG